AGGACCCCTGTTCTTAATTCCAGTTTTCGAGAAAGTCAACCCAGGGCAATCATCGAAATCTTGCTCACTGTAAAACGTAGAGTGACCTTTCTTTCCCGAATAGAGCGACGTATAGACTTCATCGCTCTGTTAGAGCGATTTTTGCAAAATGACTCAACATGAGTCTTCTTCGTAACAGAAAATGTAGCAGAAACGACTCTAAACGAGCGACGTTTGTGAAAATGACTCAAAATGAGTCTTATTCGTAACCAAAAATGTCGCGAAAAGTTACTCCAAACGAGCGATGTAATTAATATCGCTCTCCCAAGAGTCGTCAAATTGGCTTCACAATATCGCTCTATTTGCATCGTATTTGGTCACTCCTTTACTTTTAGTGCTCTCTTGGCAACCAGGCGCACACTTTTAAAACAGGCCTCCCCTTACTTATTACATGAAAGCCTAAATTACATTACAAGAAAACAAAACACGAGAAATTTTCAAATGAAATTTATATTTCACGATTACAAAAAATCATTTTAATAATTTTAAAAAGATGCCACTATTCTTGATAAAGGCCCGTTTCCCGTAAGTGAAGTTCGTTGCCCCATTCATCGTGTCGTCACGCGATAAACAAACTAAAGGGAATCGCGGAACATCAGCGCTCCCACAGGCTACATGTATTACAAAGAAAGTATATGTGAAATAAACAAACAATGTTGTGAGGCTCTCCTCTCTTCAAGAAGGCAGAAAGGCGCTGGAAGAAAAGAGAATAAAAAGAGAGACGGCAACAAGAGCGCGCGACGCCTCGTCTCCTCTAGTTGGGCCCTGTCCGCCCGTTGGCTGACGTGTGTCAGCTGCGGGAGGATGGATCGCAGTCGAAAGGGGAAGCATGGGGAAGAGGGGGGCAGGGGGGTGGGGGAGGGGATCAGACCTCTCTCCTTCTCCTCCTTTCCCCCTCTAGCTTGATCGAAGAAGGGATTCATCCGGTGATTGATATCTGCATCTCGTCCTCCGGATCAAGCCCGGCCGGATCAAGCCCGGCCGGATCAAGCCCGGCCGGATCAAGCCCGGCGGCCCCCGGAGCCGACGGCGCGCGGCTGCTCGAGGCACTCGATAATGTGCGCGGGGATCGCGTCGCCGATGACGTCGCGTCGCGGAATCTAATAACGGGGAAGAGGCGCGCGCGACGCCCTCGGGCGGGTCTCCTTCGTCAACGAGGTCACAAAATGGGAGGGATCACACGAGACGAAACGCACAAACACGTCTTTTCATTGAGCTTTTTTTCTTCTCTCTGTTTTTCTCTCGGTGCGGTTTGGCTCTGCATAAAAATAGTTAAAAGCCATATTGTAGAAAACATCGTGATGGCGCTCAACAACCACCTTACACACACTGGCGGGATTGATCATGTATTTAAACAAATACTTCAATTATTGAATTAATATTCAAACCAATATAGACTTGAAGGATAGTAGGTGCACACAATATTATATCTGGAGCAAATCGCAAGTGCGCAACCGCGTGAAATACTGCAGCAGTCAGCCAACATTATGACTTGATCCACACGCCGAAAATGGTAACGAGTAAGTAAGACGGACACGGACAGTAGGCAAATCGTACTTCCTTATACGGTAATTATAACAGTGGTATTCTTACACCTGGGTACAAATATACTAGGGTCTCAATAAAATCCGACGATAGCCCTGATATTCCTTTCTGGTAGCTTCATAATATTTGCATCTCCCCTATAAAAGTCACGTAACAGTATGGGAACGACCCCGAATCGTCCTCGTGAGCGGGTCCGCTAGGCCCAGGCCCCCGCGTGCCCCCCGGGGGAACGGCAGGGGACACGGCCTCATGTCGTTATAACGACCCTTGTTGACTGGCCGGCTCACGACGGTGGCCCCCGCCCGCCCCCGCCCACCAGAGTAACACAGTCCACCGGGGGCGGCCCGCCCTGGCCTCTGCCGAGACGGACAGGGTTGACTTGCCTTTGCCAGTACCGCCCCCGGGGGCGGCCAGGCCGCCGTTAGTGCGGTCTCTGTTAGGGAGAGTGGCTGAGGAGGGGGCGGCGGGCGGGGGCGGCTGGCGGGGGGCAGAGACCCTCAAAGGGTACTTATTCAAGGGGGGAAGGGGGATGTCACAACACCCCTCCCCCTCCCTCTTCCCGGCCCGAGGGCCGATGTGTCCGGACGCCATTTCGCGCCGATACGATCCTTTGTCTGCCATCCCTGCGCCGCCCGCCCCCTCCCCTTGAGCCCCAAGGGGCTTCTACAGGCAAATTCCCACCTCCTTGTTCCCCCACACCACCGCTGCGGGCGTGGCGGGGCGGGGCGTGGCGCGGCGGGCAGGGCAACAGGACGCCTGTGTGTTGAGAAGTGTTTGTCGGTTCACCGGCAGCAGGGCGGAGTGGGGGGAAGAAGGACCAAGGGTCCTCCTTGGGGAGGGGGAAGGGGGAAGCGAAGGACGGCCGGCAATTACCCGGCAGAATCCAACACAACACAACAGGCCCGCACCATCACCGACACAATGTTGCATTCTCGATATGGACCAAAACAAAACAAAAAATCTTCTTTGTGCCCACTGTAAAAAATATTCGCACGTGTTAATTTTCCGCAAGAAAAGTTGTCAGAGCTTAAAACATAAAAATAAATGCCCGATGCGACGTTGTTTTCATCGGCGACGCAAAGTATGATCAGCTGTCGTAAATCGTAAATGCACAACATCACTGTAAAAAATCATCTGATACTACGGGACCGTCAACGGACATTCCGTTATAGCATACTGCAGAAAAGAGATACGGAAGAACCGTTTGAGTTCGACCATGTAACTAAATTTAGGGTACGGACGTGTCCGGAAAATAATTGCCGCTTA